CACCGAGAAAGAATATTCAGAAGGAAATGCATCTGTACTGAACATGTATGGGCTATTTTCTTGTCCAGGATTTCTCAATGATAGCATATAATAACTATTTACATAGCATTTATTTGTTTAAATATTGTAAGTAATCCAGAGATGATTCAGAATACAGGGGAGGATGTGGGTAGATTATATGCAAATATACTATTTTACATAAAAGAATTGACCATCCGAAGACTTTGGTGTCTGTGGGGACTTTTGAAACCAATTCCTATTGTATGCTGAGGAACAACTGTATAGTGCAGTGGTTGAGAGCAGTCATGGAGCTCTGATGGCTCTGCATATTAACTCACAGTCCCCATAAAATAGAGAAGCTGGCAGCATATACCTCAGAAGGTGGTTAAGAGACAATTGATGGATCCACTTAATAAAACCTCCAACAAACTGTGAAGTGTTCTTTATTTTTGTATTTTTGTTGTTTAAGGCCATTGTCTTAAACTGTCATTACTGAATAAGGCCATTGGTTGTTCATGCTACTGAGAGAGGAAAACCTCCTCATCTTGTTTCCTATGTCTTGGCAGAAACAAAAAGGAAGACGATGCCCTAAGTCCAGTCAGTTCCCAGTCTCCATAGGTGGTCAGGTAAGAGCAGGGGCCTGGAACCGGTGTGCTTGGCTGTAACATTACTCCTCTCCAGTGCTGCAGTGTAAGATAAGACAGCAAAACCACAACAGTCGAAACAAGTCAAACAGGTCAAGCAAGGAGTACCAATAAATTCTGCAACTAGTAAGTTCAAGTGCAGGATATACAAGACAGGAATACAAGACCTTGCCTGTAAAAGGAAAATGTCCCATCAAAGAAACATAATCTTCCCATGTTCTCAATTTAAATTTTAACAAAAATTTAACAAAAATCAATTTGTCATCATTTTAACAAAAATCAATGAGTAAAAAAGACAACACATATGAATTCAAGACATAAGCAATTGACAAACAAGAATAACAATTTCTGATTACCTAAACAAGTAACAACCCAGAATTCACAAAACAAAAGCAAACTCTTACCTCATTCCAGTTTTTCTGGTGTGGACTCCAAATGATACAGGGGAATAATATAACTCCTAAGATGCTAGATGTCAGATACACTGAGTTCATGCTCCCCAAAATTGAAGAATAAATTTGAAAGAACAACAGCGGTGAACAGTGGGGAAAATTTACTGAGAGAGGTAGCTCTTGAGAAACAGAAGTGGGCCTGAGAGTAAGTTCCCACTGAGCCCACCTCTCAAAGGAAGTTTTGTAGAGCAAAATCACAAAGTGGATACAAAGTGAGTCAAAATTATGATCGACCAATAAAATTACAAGGATAGCCACTAAGGTAATACTTATCCAATGGGGAAGCAGGTTGAGAATCCAGGGTACATGGAAAGAATAAAGACCTTTTTAGGAAGAGATGGATCAGGAGGTCCTGGTCACCTACCTGGGTGACTGATGTCTATCTAGAATTTATTGGCCCTGGTGATACCTACTACCTCCAATTATCTTATCTGCTGGGGAGGCATGTAGGCCTGGTCATTCTGTCTTTATCTTGAGACCCAGCCTTTAACAGATGTATCTCTAGCCACTGTTGCGATGTGTTCGCCTCCTCTGCACTGACTCCCTCAAGGGCTGGCCCTGTCTGACTGTCTATCATATGTGCACCTAACTTAGCTGCCTATGATAGTTGCACCATAATAAAGCTTCTCAGAGTCTTTGAGCCTCAGTTTTTCTTTTTATCTGTGCAAAGGGGATGACAATTATCCCTTATTCCAGAGCTGCTGAGAAGACCAGAACCATATGAATGAAGGATTTACACACAGTAAGTGCTCAGTCCATTTAGCTATAAAGTTCAAATGAAACAGATTCAAGCCTACACCTACTGAGTACTTGCCATGCGTTCACTTTGTGCAGGGAGCTCATTTAACAATAATCCCATAAGGAATGCTCACAGTCTTCCATTTGCTGGTAGGGAGACCAACGCTTTGAAAAGTCAAACGACATGTAGCAGTTCTTGGTTTAGAAATGATGGAGCTGAAATGTGACTCTAGGTCTTCTGATTACTTCTTCGATGGTTTGAAGCTTATTCAGATAAATGCTGAATTAAGGCACCTTGAGCTGTGTGGTTTGCTCTTCTTACTGGTTGCTGTGAATATTTCCCTGAGATGTGATTACCTGATCAACTTGGGGTCAGTTAGGAGGTGGAGGAGAGGGACCGTTCGTCCTTGCCTTCTGCTTTTTAAAATTTTACATATGTTAAATGCACAACATACTGTTCACAGTTAATGTAACATAGTTATTCTATAATGACATTCTTGGATTCTTTCCCCTCAAAGTTTCATAGACTTTGTAGAACATTTAAATGATTTTTCCAATCACGAGATTTGTTTTTCTTTGCCTTTGATTCTAAAACAGCAAGTTGACTCCTCTTTTTTCTGGAAGCCTTTCTACGCCATTACAAACAGCATTTCCCTTGTGACCTTTAATGCAAACGTGCCCTTCTTCTCCCTGGGATGGGCTCTGACATCATTCTCCAGGAAACAAAGGCCTCTGCAAGCCTGATTCTTCCTGCTGAGACTTTGGAAAGGGTCATGTCTTCTTTGACCAAGTCTTAATTCACAATTGAGGTTTGGGGGACAATATTTACAAATGTGTCTCTTTTTCCTCGTGTCGCTTGAGGTTGGTTTTTAAAAGTCAGCTATTTTAACAACTACTCGAAAAACTTCATTATCCCTAGTCAGAAGTATGGTTTTGTATCTTTTAGCCAATTATTTCTTATCTTTGGTTACTTCTGCTCCTTTTTTATTCAAATCAGCCAGCATCTGTTCCCAGGACTCAGTGCCAAGGTGCCACCCAGCTTAAAGAAACTAATCTTTGATCTTTTCTTTCGCCTCCTTTTGGTACCAGCACACTAGTTATCATCCCCAATTCCCCCACATTTTGATGCTTCCCTTTGAAATTTACTTGGGAGCTTTTTTAAAGAACAGAAAATTTGAAAAGGAACGGTTTGAAGCTTATTCAGATAAATGCTGAATTAAGGCACCTTAAGCTGCGCCCCTTGCTCTTGAGCTTGCTCTGTATTGTCTAGATGTTGTGTGGCTTAATGGGGAAAGACGCTGCCAATTTAGAGCAGAGCAGAAAGATTTTCAGCATCAGCTCCTCCCGTGTTATGCGTCCCTTGTAAATTTCCCAGCCTTTTGTTACCCAGGTAGCTTTTTAGCTTTTTCATGTCGGAGACAGTGATAGAAGCCACCTTCACGGCCAAATGGAAAGCATGAAATTAATGTCAGGAGACGTGCATGGGATGAGTCCTTTCTTCACCAGGAAAAGTTTTTGATTTGCAGCTGCAATTTTTTCTTTTTTGCTTCTTGGTGCAGACAGGTCTTCCTTTAAGCAAAGCTAAGAGTGGTTTTGCAGTTTCGTAGTGACTAATATAGAATTGTTGTCATTTATTTATTTATGAAAGTCTTCTATTGATGCACAGTCGTTCTTCTCAATTCTAGATCACTATTCAAAAATTTGTTAAGCGAGAATTGTGTCCCGTATGTTAGAGTAATAAAACCTTTGTAAAAGTGCTGAAAAGGACTTTTCAGTCAATCAAATACTGATTAATGCCTGCTCTGTGTCAGACACTATATTAGACCTCAGCAGTGTAAGAGCAAGAAAAACAGACACCGGCCCTGTCTTCCAGGTCTTACAGTCTAGCTAATGTTGTCTATTACCACAGCAGTAGCTTGTTAGCTATGGCTTTTCTAAGTCAGATATAAAGCAGTCACTTGCCTTGAGGCCATGTAGAAAGCCACAGATCAGTGGAAAAGAAAATATGTAGGAAAGAAAGATTCTATATTTCCCAGGTAGTCTTTACCTCCTAGGCACTTCCCTAAACATTTGGGTCTTTGTACCCAAAATCATGAACTTGAATAAATTTGTTCCTCCTATGGTGTAGAGATCAGTGTCCAGTCTAAAATGAAGACTGGTTAGCCGTTGCCCATGGCCAAATCCCACCCACTGTCTATGGTTATATGTTCTTTGAGTTTAGAATAGATTTTATATTTTCACATGCTAGAAAAATATCCAATGAAAAAATCCTTTTATTAAACAGAAAAATTATCTGAAATTGAGATTTATGTCCATGAGCAAAATTTTATTGGAACACAGCCTGGCCCACCCATTTATGCTTGGTGCATGGCTGCTTTTGCACTGCCATGACAGAGCTGAGGAGCTGCAACAGAGAATGCACAGTTGGAAAAGTTTAAAATATTTATTATCTGCCCATTACAGAAAGTGTTTTCTGACCTCTGGTCTAGAAGACTTTCAGGATGTGTTACTTAACATTGTATGGCTGTGACCATTTCTTGAGTACCTGAGAGACACACTAATGCGAAGAAGCCACTTCCCTCTGCATGGCAATGACAGAGGACAGGCATAAGAACAACAGAGGATGGCACAAAGTTTCTCAAACCAGAAGCTTGAGTGTGCAGGAAATGTATAATGTTTGTTTCCTTTTTTTATTATTTTAATGAGAAAAGAACAAAAACAAAACAACATAAAAACTATACAAGTGATACGGAATTTCAGAACAAGATGATAGGAAATCAACAATGGTTGCTGTATTACTTATTGTTATCTGTAAAGTAGTCGCTCAGATTACCAGATATAAGCATGCAAGCTTGATCAAACAATTAAACATTAACTATTCCTTTCAATAAACCAATACAAATTAGTAGTATAATTATCTTAGCTATTTTGTATAATATATACATTTTCCATTCCTTCTTTCTTTTCTCCCTTCCTTTATCCCAGTTGTTCCTTCGTTTGAGCAGTTTCTTTCCCTTTCACAATATCTACTGTACCTTTCAGGTTTTATTCACTCTTTCAGGTTCTTATACTGGGGAGACAATACAGTGTTTACACATGTGGGTCTGATTTATTTCACTTATGAGTGTGGTCTCTAGTTGCATCCATTTACCTATAAAAGCCTTGAGTTTATCATTCTTTATAGCTGAGTAATACTCCGTTGTATAAAAATGCCACATCCTTTTTATCCTCTCCTCAACTGATGGACGTCTGGGCTGCTTCCAAGATTTAGCTATGACAAATCATGCTGCTATAAACATGGGTGCACATACATCGCTGTGGTAAAAAATACATAATATTTTTATAATGCAATTTAATTCACTTAGTACCTTGCAACCTTAATTATTTCTGGAAAAAAAAAAACTGTGTTTTTTCAGTCTTTTTATCTTGAAGTTCAGTTAGTTCTGGTGTTTCCTATTTTCTTCCTTTTTACTAGTGAGTACCCGTGTGGGGCAGCTTATACTGGCAAGTGGTGACTGTCCTGAGCTGTGACCCACCCCTGGTCAGCTGTACTCTAAGACTGTCCATGACCTGACCTGGTCTTGCTACTTTTTGTTGCAATGTTCCCTTGTCACTTCTTTCAGAAATCTGGGTCTACTGGTGCTCTATTGCCCTTCAACTCTTCTCAAGCATCTGGGAAATTTATGCTTCTCTTCCACCTCTGTGCTGGGGTTTCTGGAGCTGAGGTCATTCCAGCCTTCTCTGATCTTTGTACCCCAGGACCTGTGATGTGAAACAGATCTCTTTGACAACATGCTTCCATTTAACACTGTCATCCAGCCAGCTTCTGGAATGCAAAATCCTTTGGAGACTGCTGTTTCTCCATGATGGGGGCATCTCTAGAGTTGGAAGAACAGAATGTTTTCTCTTTAAGGGCTTGGGTCTGAGCAGGGGGGAGCACAATTCTGCTGCATCGGTCTTTCAGAAAGGATCAAATTTGTCTTTCTCAGTTCTGTGCATGTTTCAGCCAGCTCAGGTTGAACCTACTGGTTCTGTGGGATTCAACCTCAGGCTCTGGTTAGGCCAGATGGAAAAATCAGTCCTAGAAAAACAAAAATGTGAAAAACCAAGGCAGAGAAAGCAATTACCTAGCCCTACCCCCACCCCTGCCGTAAATCTAAACACACTAAGCCCATTGAAGGACTTGCCAGGAAAATGCGATTTTCAGTTTTCTCTGTGGGTTCAATTTATCTTTACTGCTCAGTAGTCAAATTGAATTAGATCCAGGGCCAGATACAATTCAACCCTTTTTCTTTGAAGACAGCAGCACCTGCCCCCTACCCCTTCTTTCAGCGATCTAACTTTCCATCTTAAGTGCTAGTGTTTCCCATGTTAGGGATTGCAGGAAGAACATCTTCCTTTTAGATATCCAGATTGGGAGCCACTTAAATTTCCTTTTCTTAGATAAATGAGTCATTGCATCTTTTCTGCTATGCCTCACCAAATATGAAAAACAGTTACTTAGGGTTGTATTTTACTTCGCTGAATTTTATATTTTGAAGATGGCAATTTTTCTGCATCTTATGTACAACCTTGGCCTGAAGCACAGTATCATCTGTCATCCTGACTGTTTAAGTTTGGAGTTTTGAAAGATATGTAATAGAATGGAGTATAAGAAAGAACACTCCTGTGCAGACAATTTGCATGGTTAAATTTCCTGATGTGATTGGAATAGGTATGGGAATACCCATACTTCCATGATATGACCTCAATCCTGTGACAAGTAAAACACAAAACTTTCTCCATGTTTTTATTGGCAAGAATCATAGTTACCATCCTATAAAGACAAGAGCAGAATAGAAAATAGTCCAGGTATGTTTCCTATCTGAATGACAAAATAAAAATTGATCTATACTTTTCCATATGGAAATAACTTGGTTTCCCAAATTAGTTGCCCAAAGAAGGACAGCTATCTGAAAGCAGATCCCTTCAAGATAATGTGAGAGAAACCTTCAAATTCCCTTGAATTTGGTGGCCTTAATATATAATCAAAAGTCTTTAAAGTGCCTCCATCAAGAGTTGGAGTTTGGCAGTCTCTCTGGGACCTGGAATTCCCACACCCAGAAACAACAACTTAGCAAAGAGAAAGAGAAAAAGAGCTTTGGGGATCAAAAAAGCTGACAGGAAAGCTAAAAATCATAGAGAAATTTAGGACAGTGCAGAGAAGAGAAAACAGTCTTCAGTGTTAACCGCAGCTCCCAAGGAGGGGTACCTGTTTCTGCAAACACAAGGTAAGGCAGGAGAGGGTCTGCACACTCAGAAAGAAGCAATGGCCTGACAACTCCAACCCTAGCCAAAGCCCACAATTATTCTAAGCTGCAAACACTATGTGGGGTTTTACTCTGAAAGTGACTCCCTCCAAATGGCAGGGTAGATTTAAGAAGAAATCCACTGCATTGCTCACCATATTTGGGAGTGATATAACCAGAAGCCATTTTGGGGATGGGTTTATTGCTTCAGACTGAGCTACTATGGAAACCATATCTCACGGTCTCTGGAAGTAACTCTACCACTGTGGCTGGGTGGGAGACTCCACAAAGGACAGTCACAGAGTGGGGAGTGTTGCATAACTTCTGAGAAATGTAAGCAGTGGTGAGCTCAGGCTCTGGAGGATGCAGCGGTACTTCCCTTTCTGGTGAAAATCCAAGCATGGTCTCATGCAGTTTTCCTAGGGGCATGGGTCTGAAAACGCTAGGATTGAGCGCAGTGGACTATTTGGCCCTCCTTACTGCCTACTTCCAGGATAGAACTTAGTGGTTGGTCCATTTGCTTTCCCTGCCCACCAACCTGATCAATAGTATGCCTGCTTGGATATTTGCCATGTTCTGAGGTATATGGACAGAGGGTTCTCTGGAGGAAGTTGGGGGAGAGCACTGCAGAAGTCCATAGGCCTCAAAACTAGTTGGGGACAGTAGTGGCTTTAGGCTCACAGAAGGGTACACACAAGCACTAAAAGCCCCTGGAGTGAGTACAGTCTTGAGGCTAACAACATGGTTGACTGGGCTGGGGATTTAGCTCAGCGGCAAAAGCACCTGCCTGGCAAGTGCAAGGTCGTGAGTTCAGTTCCCAGTACCGGAGAAAAACAAAAAAAAAAAAGAAACACCTTATTTAAGGGGCTGGGGATTTAGCTCAGCGGCAAAAGCACCTGCCTGCCAGGCGCAAGGTCGTGAGTTTGGTTCCCGGTACCGGAGAAAAACCAAAAAAAAACAAAACAACAACAACAAAAAAACCAAAGATGAACTCAATGCTACGCTAGCCTCTCTTGTCTGGGGCTGGGGATTTAGCTCAGCGGCAAAGCGCCTGCCTGGCAAGCACAAGGTCCTGAGTTCGGTTCCCGGTACCGGAGAAAAACCAAAAAAAAAAAAAAAAAAAAACCAGTGTGTCTTCAACATGGTTGACTGACTCTACCCAGTGGGAAAGACTGGGAAGAACTTAGCATTCAATATGTCAAAAAGTGGAAATAGAAACAGAACAGGTCCCAGTTTTGACTCCTACACATCTGGTAGATTCCAATATGGCAAGAAACTACCCAAATACTTCACTGTGTAAAAACTTAGGGGAGTCTTTTTTTTTTTTTTTTTTTTTTTTTTGGTCTTCTTGAGACAGGGTTTCACTATGCAGTTCAGGCTGACCTTGAACTCACTTTGTAACCCAAGCTGGCCTTGAACTCACAGTAATCCTTCTGCCTCAGCTTCCTGAGTGCTGGGATTATAGGTGTACACTGCCATACTCGGTCTTTATCTTGCTTTTGTTTTCATTGTTTATTTCCTTTTTCCTTGTTTTTTTTTTTTTGTTACTTTTGTATAATACTATTTACTTTTTAAAACTTTTAATTGGACTTTTTAATTTTTTTTCCTCATATCTTCTCTACATTTCTTTTTCAATTTTTTCTTCTTCCATTTTTTCATACCCTTTCCAGTTTTTATTAGTAATGCTATTAACCTTTATTAAATTTTATTTATTTCATTTATTTTGTACCATTACTGCATATTTCTTTTTATTGTTATGGTGATATTCTTCTTGCTTTAAGTAGCTCTTTACCGTTTGTCGATATTTGACATGTCTTTGTGTGTATATTATTATTGCTGATCTCTTTGCCATTGTTAAGGGTGGTATAGTCATTGCTTTGTTTTTTACAGAATGTCAATATATCATTTATCTTTGAATGTAAAGTATGATTGCTGATTTCTTTTCTATTGGTAATGGTGTCACAGTTGCTGTTTTTAATTGGTTTTAACTGTATGTCAGTATTTGGTTTGTCTTTGTGTCATTGACATTACCAGCTTGCACTCTTTGACTGGTACTGGAAATCAAGCCCCCAAAAGAAGGCTGGACATTAAGAAGAGTGTCAAATAAAAGTGCATCCCAACAGATCCATGAATCTCAATATAGAAACACAATTTGAAAAAGCAAGGCGTCATGATTCCTCCAAGTTTTCATAATTTATCAGTAACTGAAACTAAAGATATCAATGTCTGGTATAATGCCAGACAAAGAATTCAAGAAAGATTGATTTATAAAACAACTAATGATTTTAAAGAGGCTATATATAAATAGCCGAATGAAATAGGAAGGCAGTACAGGTCATGACAGAGCAATTAAATAAAGAGACAGAAATTCTGAAGGAAAACCAAATAGAAATTCTGGAAATGAAAAGCACGAAAGGCAAGTAAAAAAGAAATTAGTGGAAATCCTCACCAGCAGACAGGACCAAGAAGCAGATGGAACTTCCATGTTTGAGGATAAGGTTGAAGAGACACACACAAAAAAGAAAAAAATAGAAATTATTGAACAAAACCTCGAACCTTGGGGAACAGTTAAAAGGCCAAACTTATGAACTTTTGATGTAGAAGAAGGTGCTGAGGTTTAGGATAATAGCATAGAAAACATTTTAAATGAAATAATAATAGGAAATTTCCAAAATCTTGGAAAAGATATAGACATCCTGTATAGGAGGCAGAGAGCATGCTAAGAAGGGAACCTCCTCATGTCACAGTATAGTTAAAATGGCAAGAATACAGAACAAGGAAAAAATATTGGAAACAGCAAGGAAAAAATGTCAACTAACCTACAGAGAAAAACCCACCAGGCTAATTCCAGTCTTCTCTGGAGAAACCCAAAAGGTCAGAAGGGCATGGAAATGTGGATTTCAAGCCCTGAAAGAAAGTAACTGCCAATTCAGAATAGCTATCTTTCAAAGTTGAAAGAGAAATAAAGACCTTTGAAGATAAGCATGCACTAAAGAAATCCATGACCACTAAAACAACATTGCAGAAAATACTTAAAGGAATTTTACACACAGCAGAAGAGTAGACAAGTTACTGAGAATTATCAAAGAATCAAACATTAGAAAAACAAAAAGGTGACATGAATTTGTGTACACTTTTCTCTAATAACTCTGGATTTAAGTGCCCTTAATTCTCAAATTAAAAGACAAAATTTGTCATATTGGATTAAAAACAAGACCTAATATTTTGTTATTTGAAAGACATGCCTCACTAGCAAAGACATACTCAAACAAAGTGAAAGGATGGAGAAAATATACCATCCAAATGGAATCATACAGCAAGCAAGAATAGTTATCTTCAGATCTGACAAAGCAGAATGCAAGACAAAGTTAATGAAATGAGACCAAGAAGGCAAATATATATGAGTAATTGAAATAATCCACCAAGAGAATATAACAATTGTAAATATGTGTTTACCAAACACTGATGCACATAACTTCATAAAATAAACACTAATCAACATCTTTATATTGGGACACATAGGTCCCAATATAGTAATAGTGGGTCACTTCAATCCTCCACTTTCACCAATAGGTGATGTCTTGGTAACTTTTCTCTTGTTGCTGAGACAAAATACCCAACGTCCAAAATGAAGGAAGGAAAGGTATATTTGGCTTACAGTTTGTAGAGGTTTCAGTCCATACTTGGCTGGCTCCGAGGCAGAAGATAGCAAAGCAACAAGAGCAAAGGAGGAATGGCAGCCGAACAGCAAACAGCCAGAGCAAAAGGGGAGGAATGGCGCAAAGCAGCTTCT